TCGTTTTGTCACGCCTTAACTCAGCAAAATGATTCTTAGACCAACCTTTGAGGAATTTGCGCAGGCAGTAGGAAACATGATGCCAATCATCCATTGGGCCAAAAGAGCGACGAGGAGATGAAAGACATGCTGAGATCTTCCGGGTCAACATGGTGGGGAACCCCTCCACTAAGAGCCAAGACGCATCGAATTGAAACCTTTGGCAACCAATTGGACCGGACCCATCGTCAAGGATTAGGGGAGCATGATCAGATCCCACAATGGGCAGGGCACGTAGACAAACCCGAGGGAAAAGGGCATCCTAGCCAGGGCAGAGAAAAACCCTGTCAAGAACAGAGCGGATGGGGGAAGCTTGACGGTTAGTCCAAGTGAAGCGGGCCCCAACCCTAGGGACTTCACGAATGGTCGTATCCCTGATGAAAGCATTGAAGGCCTCAGCCAGAGCCCAAGAGAAATTAGCGGAGCTCTTATCAGAAGGGTATCTCAACAGGTTAAAATCACCCCCAATCAAGAGGGGGAGCTGGCAGGAGTCAATTTTATTATAAATCTCGTCCAAGAAATCGTACGAAAAGGAATGATCTACCGGGCCGTAAACCACCATGAACTCGAGAAGAGAATTGAGGGAACGATGGGAAACTACCGTACTAGCCCAGTACCTACCATGGTCAAAAGCTACAAAATCAAATATATCATTATTGGTGCCCAGAAGAAAGCCACCCGACTGACCAACAGAGGCCACAAAATTCCACCTGAATCTGTCTATCCCAGCAATAGACGAAAGTTCACTCGAGGAGAAGGAGGGTTTGAGGGTCTCAACAGGGCCAATAAAATCAACATTTTCAGACCGCACCAAATCGTTGGTCCCTGCGCCCCCTAGCGCAGAAACCTCTGATGTTCCAAAATAAGGCCTTCATCTGAAGGAAAGATTTTTGATTCTAAGACTCGACCTACACGGAGCCTTGCAGGGTTTAGCGCGTTTCCCAGCCCCACGTTTCTGAACCGGGGAGACCTGACACCTGTCAGCCTCCCCCACTACCCCCCCCCCCGGCCACAACCAGAGGGGCGGACACACCAGCCCCAGCCTCCTTGGCTTTCGCAAAGTCAGCCTGAGCTAGCTCGTTAGCTCTAATCACATCAAGTAAGGAAGAAGGGGAACCCAAACTGGAGTCTAAACAAATCCCAACATCATATAATATCTTAAACAACTGCTCATCAGACTGAGAAGGTAAAACTAATCTAACAGGAGACGTAACCAAAGGAGGGGAAGGAGACGGAGTAGGGCCCGAACCTGGAGGAGGGAGATCCCGCGCCGCCGCACGCCGAGCCGCCCGGTCAGCCACACGCTCGCCGCTGTTGGAGACCCGACCACTCTTGCGAGTAGTAGAAGCAGGGGAACGAACAGGCACAGGGGGAGCCCGGCCAGGGGAAGCAGCCGCCGAGGACGGGCCCAAAGACGCACCCAAATCCACCTCCAGCCTGCGGCAAAGCCTAGCCTCGGACTGCCTGGAATCCCCAGACGCCCTGCTCATCGCAGAGAACTTCTTCACCGACGATTTCTTCCTCTTCTTGGACACCGACGGGCCAGCCGGGGGTAGATCTTCAATGCCAGATAGCGAAGGGGAGGTGGGGCGAGTGGGAAGATTAGAACACGCCGCCGAACGCGGGGTGCCCTTCGTCCCACCATAAGCCGCAGCCCCACCACCCAATCCTGGCAAGGAACCCTGGATCCCACCGCCCGCCGGAGCACAATCTTTCATCAGATCTTGTTCTTCAGGGGACATCCCATCCCACTCGGACTGGGTAAAGCGAGGATCTGTGCCATGCATCGAGTCATCATGGCCCCCAACACCATCCTTACTCTTGTCATCGTTGCCGGAGGCCGGGGGGGAGGGGAGGAGGAGGAGAAGCAGGGCCAGGAACACCCTCCACCCGGACCCGAAGCCGAAATCCACCCGCCGCCGGGAAAACGTCAACATAGCCACAAATGCAGATAGGGTCAACACACCAGACCCGAAGACGGACTGGTCCAAGAACAGACAGCGAGTCTTGATCAACCTCAATGGGTTTCCCTAGGAGCACTGCAAAGCCATCAGGAAGGCCGAAGTGCGCATGTTAGAAGGCACGTCATCCACAAGCATCCAAACATCAGAAAGAGAAGCAATGGCCTTTGATACATTGGAGGCGGCCTTGACCGATACCACAAGTTGATTCAGAGGGAGCGTGAAACTGGTACAGGAGGATATCATGAGGAGGCTCTCTTTAGAGGGAAATGTAGCAGCAAACTCAAAATCAGATAACTGGCGGATCTGCCAATCCCACCCGCCCTCGTCCCACAGTCGAAGTTCATCAAGAAGGGCCTGGGGGGAGATGCGCTTGTCCTGAACAGATATGACACCAACACTGGAAAGCGAGGGGTTGGGAGCAACTACAGGAACCTCCTTATCAAGGGCAAAGAAAGAACAGCCAGGGAGGCCGATCCCATAGTGAACGAAGGAAGGAGGTTTGACACGGCTATGACAGTCCACCGTGAGGTGTCCGTCCTCCCTACAGATGAGGCAAAACGGGGGATTTTCACAGCGGGACTGGAAATGGCCAGGACGATGACACGCAAAGCAAGTGAGGATAGGGTTGGAGACCTGGGAATGAGGGGGATTGCGGCCAGGGCCTCGAGGGGGAGGAGGAGGGAGAATACCATCACTAGGGAAACCAGCACCAGCACCGGCGCCATGCCCCGCAGCAGCGCCGAAAGGGCGGCGGGCCGGGGCCCCCGACGCACCACGGGGAATGAAGCGAGATGGTCCGCCACCAGGCGGCGCCCGCGGCGGCCCGCCACCCTGGGGGACAAGCGAGGGGGGAGACGAGGAAGGCCCCGAGGAGCCCGCCCGACTCCCCAGCGCCGCCTGCTCCCAAGGATCGACCGCAGCCACTGGAGCACCAGACACGGGAGGCGGAGGGAACGCCGGCCCAGATCCAGAAGCACGAGGGGACGCACCGGCCGCCTCCACCGAAGCCCCCGCACCCGGAGCGAGCGAGGCATGGAGCTTGGCACGGAGCGAAGCCTCATACTCCAGATCCGCGGCGGCGTCGCCAGAGCCGTCACGCCCCCGCTTGTGGCCGGAGACCGCCTCACTGGAGGACCCGCGGGAGCGGTCCATCGCGGCCACCGTCGCGAAGGGAAGGAGGAGGGGGCGTGGAGGAGTAGATCTGACGAAACAGCGGATAGGGAGACGGCGCCGGCGCAAGTCAGAGGAGGAGGCAGGAAACCCTAGAAAAGGGGGAACCGCATCCTTCCGAACCCAAATATAGCTAAAGCTAGCCAGGCCGAGCTCGCCAAGGGGGCCGGGGGAGGAATGGGCTGAATCTGGGCCAACCTCGGCCCAGGAGCCAACGACAGGAGGGGGAAAATCAACAGAAGAAGCCAACGAGGGGACCGAAACAGGCCCACCCGGCCCAACAGCACCCAAAGGAGCCCGCGACCCAACCCGGGGCACCAGCGCCAGCCCCGACCCCAGATCTAGGGTTGGCACGGGCGGCGCCGCCGCCGAGGGAGCGGGGACCACAGCCTAAGACGAGCCGGGGAGGGCAGCCGCCGGAGGGGAAGACGCCGGCGACACCACCACTGCCACCCCAGGGCCCACTAGGGAATCATCCAAGGACCAGGAGGCAGCGCGCCGGCGACCACGTGCGATGCGGCACCAACCATCCACATCCACACCCAACCCGACTGACCGCCCCTACCACCCGGAGCAAATTTACGCCGGCGACCCACCGCCAGAGCAGCCGACGACCCACCCACCAGAGCCGGACGTGAAGGAGGGGGAAGAACCTCAGAATCCGAGCCGGAGTCATTCGAGTCGAGCGCCCAAAACCTGTTGGCCCGGGGCGCAGCCAGGACCGCAGCACTGGGGGGGAGCCGAGGAGAGGGAGGGGGTTGGACTCGCCGCCGGCGAGGAGCCCGGAGGAGACCTCGGGGAGGGAGAGGGAGAGGGGAACCGCACGAGACAGGGACGCCGACGAGGGAGGGCCGCGGGGCGGCGACGCCCCAGGAAAGGGGAGAGCGAGAGGAGAAGAGAACGCCATCCTCAATCCCACAGCAGTCGCCATGGCTATCTCTCTCTCGCTCGACTCTGTTCGGGGTTGCGTGTTTGAATTGAAATGACAAAGGGTCTGGGAGGAAGAGGGTGGCACAGACACGCGGGTGTTGCGATGGGAAAAATAACGGATCAACCACACGGGCCCGATAAGAGAAACGAGACAAATAACAGGTCAAACACACGAATCTCAGCGCACAAATCGCACGGCACAGAAAACGGATGAAAGCGAATTGTTTTCATCCAGATGTAAATTAGCAGATCCGCTGCTAATACATCCTGCCTAGCCTACATGTGATCAATTTCTCGTGTGCTCAACTCTGTGTTTGTGCAGGCTGTGGTGAACATGATGATGGCGGTGGAGACCATGCTATCCCCGGAGACGGCCACCGCCGACGACATTGAGAAGATGTCCAAGAATGCCATGGACGCCTGGAAAGAATTCAAGAACAAGTACGAGCTGGCCAAGGGAACAACGGAGTCCAGCACCTGACCACCTGATGCGTGCACTACTGACATTTCTTCTGAAGAATCTTTGTGTCTTGCTTGCCTGAAGCCTGAAGGCAAATGTTTGTGTTGAGTGCTGACCACTCTTGTGATGCATCTTTGTGCCTTGCCAGCGTAGTTGCGCGTGTAGTTGATTCAGTGTCCGTGAGTTCATGTAATCATGAAGTCTTATCTCTTTGTGTGCTTGTGTTTACCAAGTTTCCCCTCTGTCATATTGACCAACAGTGCAATCTTCAGACCCTACAGGAAGTATGAAATGCTACATATGCATATATTCTACACACTAGTCTGTGTGGTACTTTGTGTTACCAAAAGTTTCCCTGCTGTATATCTGCCCTTAATGGAAGCCCATCTTCAGAGCAAATGAATGGATGAAATGCTACATTTTCATAGACCTTGTTTTTATTCAGAAGGCTCCCCCCACATCTTCATGAGGTACCCCTCGCAGCTGCTCCCGGCGATGTCCCGCGATGACGCCATCCTGGAGACCCCTCCTCCGCCGCCGCCATTGTCGCGCTTCAGGTTGTGCCGGTACTCGACGCTGATGTGCTCCAGCACCTCCACCTCGAACATGTTGATGCTCACCCTGGGGCTCATCTGGTCCCGCACGTAGGCGAAGGCCAGCTGGTCCCGCGGGTTGAACGCCTCAAGCTCGTTGAAGAGCAGGCAGGAGAAGAGGTCGCTCGCCGAGCCGTGCCTCCTCATGATGATCGCCGTGTCCGGCACATCTGCGCGGCGTCAAACGAATCAGAATCGAATCAGAATGCGGGCACGCGAGCAATTCTTCTTGAGTGGATACCTGAAGGATATGGGAGCTTGCTCGGGGACCATGGCTGCAGGCCGTTGCCGCAGTAGGCCTCCATCTGCGCCCTGACGGCGTCCACGTCGCGCCACTTGCGCCACCGCGCCGTGGCGATCGCCTCCTCCATGGCGTGGAGGTTGAACGGGTGCCTGGAGACCGCCATGTCCACGCCCTTGCCGAGGAGGAGCGAGTGCACCAGCAGCAGCGGGTCCACCGTGAGCTGCATCTTGGCGTCCACCCACACGCTGAACCTGGCGTTCGGGAACAGCCGGTGCAGCAGGTGCTTCACCACGACGCCGTTCATGGCGGGGTCCTCGTAGGGGAGCTGCTCCTGCTGCAGCGTCACCACGCGCCATGCGCCGACGACCGCGCTGGCCGACGCGGCGTGCTCGTCTTTGAGGATGCCGTGGCTCGCCAGGACCCGGTGGGTACGGCCGTCGATGAACATGAAGAAGCACGCCGCCTTGACCGTATGGGAGCCGAGCCCCTTCGGCTGCCGGATCTTGTCGTGGTCGTTCAGGATCGCCGAGGCGACCACGACCCCTCGGCAGCCCTCCATGGCCAATCTGTCTGAAACCATCGACGTCAAAGAAGAGCATGGTAACAAGCAATTCTAAGCCCTTAAACCTTGTAACGCTTAACCAAGTTTAAAAAAATTATAGATGTTGAGGTTTCTATAAGCATTGTCAAAATCTACAATTTTTTGACTTGCCACAAAATCTCTATACACTGTACATTTTATCATAATATGGACCAAGTATGTTTTCAAGCAGTACAATCTGCCAAAGACTTTGTACAGTAGTGGAGTACTAACTTATAATATGCATTAAATATGTACTTTAGGTGTACAATTTTCCATTCACTAGCATCTTTACTGGGGTATCTTATGATTTAACAACATTTTATGAGAGAAGAGCCACATTTTGGTTATTGCTCTTTCCTCATTAATTAATATTTTGTCTAGTTGCATCTTTTTAGGTAAAAGTTGACGTGATTACACTAGAGCGAATTTCTTTTACATGCAAAATACGAAATGAGGACAAAAAACCCTCACCGGCTTGTGCGAGGGGGAATTCCTTGAAGAATCCACATGGGATTTCCACCGCGCTGTCCGTGTTATTGAAGAACGATCTTCGTTCCTCCATGGACAAATTCCCCGCAAACGAGTCCCTCCTGCCGTTCTGGTACCGCAACGCAGGGGATGCACGACGATGAGCCGCCGAGAGGTTGCGGCCGAGGCCATTGATCTCTTGCAGAACAGTGTTATAATCTGCTCGAAGAACGAAATTTGCGGGTCAGAAAGGCAGCGAACGATCGGGTCCTCTGAAAAGCGGCAATGATCTCCGCGGGCGACGGAGGCCGGGACCTGAGAAGACGGCCGGGTCGGAGCAGAGCGCGCGCGGGACGGGGAGGGCGTGCTTGTGCGCGCCGTAGCCGCGCGGGTACTCGAAGAGCGGCGTCGGCGGCGGAGGGGAGCGGCGGGCGGGGCGGAGGAGGAGGAGGCGGTGGAGGGACAGGCAGCGCGAGGGGTCGGAGAAGGAGACGTAGAGCGCGAGCGGGAGCGTGGTGAGGAGGTAGAGCAGCGAGAGGCAGAGCAGCTTGGACTGCAGCAGCGCGGGCCTCCGCACGCGCACCCACGCCATGCCGCCCGGGCGGATCGGCGGAGTGGCTGGCGTACGTACGTGCCCCCCGGTTTGTTTCCACTTTTGGAGCTGAGTGATCGGGTCACACGGGAAGAGGCGATCCGGCGTCCTCGTGCATGCCGCACGTCCGTTACGGAGTAAAAAACCACCTGCCGTGCCGTGGTCCTGCATGCCGCACGTCAGCAGCAAATAGGAAGGATCCGGCTTGCCCTGCTCCTTCCCCATGCTCAGCGCCAGTGTGATAGCCGGGGACATTCATAGGAAGCGTATCATCGGAACAATCTTCTCAAATGCGAACGAAAGCAACGGGCCGGCCGCCAAAATGGCAAACAGTTTGTTGCACCAAGAAAAGGCACTTTATTGCTCGCAAGTTTATACGCTACCATTATTCGTCGGCTTACATAGAAGCTTAAAAGACAAGACACTCTTATATATACGAGCTCACTGGTTTAGTCTAACAAGCGGCTAGCTTGCACAGTTACATGTCGGACGCGGCCATGGTGTCGAAGAGCATCCATATCTCGTTCACCCTGCCGCTGAACTCGAACGGCGAGTTGTACTGCGCCACGGTGTACTCGGACGCCGGGTCGGCCTTGCGGCCGTCGGACACGGGCGCGGCCCACCTGGTCCCCTGCAGGCTGGCCTCGAGCAGCGCGGCCTGCTTGCCGACGTCGGCGTCGGCTACGAAGCCGCCGAACCGGCGCACGGCCGCGTACCTCGCCCCGGCCCACCTCTGCACGCGCAGGCCCTCGGCCGGCGGCGGGTCCGCCTGGTTCTTGGCCGGCACGTAGAAGCTGACCACGAAGGAGGAGACGCAGAAGGGCCCGTCGCTGGGCGCCACCCGCGTCAGCACCGGCGCCGTCATCTCGATCGTCTCGTTGTACGCGTTCTTCCCCTGGATGTACTTGAAAAGCCTGGCCCATACAAACAAGCGAAGCCCGTTATTGCTCTCTCAGGCCCATTTGTTTAGGCCCACGTCAAGCCCAGGAAGATAGCTTCAGTCAGTGGCACTACTGCTTGGCAATGGCGAAGGGAGCGGCGTGCTTACTGGAGGAAGCCGGAGCGGGTGGCGTCGACGAGCGAGATGTCCTCGATGGGCGCGGTGGAGACCCACATCGCGTCCTTGTACCGCCGGATCTCGAACCCGTTGGCGCTGTCCACCACGTCGTACGCCGGGCACTCGATGCGCTCGCACGACGGCGGCACGGCGGCGCCCGCGCCGGCGGCGAGCAGGGCGGCCGCGGCGAGCAGGAGGAGCATGCCGCTCCGCCGCGCCATGGTTCTCGGTGGGGAGTGGAGTGGGGGATTGGGTTTGTGGGGCTCGGGTGCGTGCGTGCGTGCCTCTGGCGATTGATTGGGTGGTGGTGGGATAAATACGGCTCGGCTGCGGCTCAGGGTGGCCGCGGGCCGCGGCGGCCGTGCTTCCACGTCGACGGATTCGAGCACTTGGCCGTCATCGTTCGAGTCTTGAGGATCGAGACTGGCAAGCGGGGGAGAGGGGACACACGTAGACAGTAGAAGCATCGGTTGGTGGTTTCTGAGATGATTTTCGCTGTGATTTCTGAAGGTGTGATAATACTATCTTGGAATTTCTGTGAGATTTTAGAACGCTCGAGACCCTGTACTGAATTATATTATGAACGTACATGCTCTTTCCCTTAAGCCAACTACTCTTACTGAATTGTTTTACTGCTAGTGCGACGAACATACATACTAAGAGCTTCTGCAATATCATAGGCTCTTACTTCACATACGGAAAAAGACTCTCGTCACGCTTTATATATAAAGCAACACGATAGAACCGATACAAGATGAGGAAAATCTTTACAAAGCGGATTAAAGATAAAACAAGAATACAAGAGCATCTACACCCCACCAAGAAACACCGAGGCTACTACCTAGAAGAGACACCACGCCTCCATGAGAAACCATCGGATATCGATGCAACACACACACCAAGAAGTCGCCGGATATGGCCCCCTCCCATCTCGCTCCGATCCGTGGAGCGCCGAACCTGCCTGCAAACAACGAGGATCGAGCGCAATGGCAACGACGCCACGTGTAAAAGATAGGACACCGTCGGGGCCACCCCTAGTTAGAGCCCAAGGAGCGTTGAGTTAGGATCCGAGCTCGCCGGCTGATGACGATGATACGTGACCAAAGGGTACTTGAGCTCCACGACGACGCCCCGAGAGGGTGTCAGCGTTCTGGGAATGGGGGTACCCAGACTTGCCTGCCTGCGTCCCACTGCGTGGCTTCATCAACGGCCTTGTACGACCCAGCTTAAACGTCAACAACTCAAGACCTCCGCGTGGGGCGGCCTCCCCAGGCTGGCTCACGAGGAGCGGAGATATCTATGCAAGCCACACCTCGCGAGGTTCAGATGACGTGAGCCATGATGACCAAGGCCAGGCGGGCGCCAGCGGGCGTAGCGTATCAGTTTCCTCTTTGGTGCTAAGGAGGCAAGCATGGGCACGGAGCCCCGAGGAATCAAGCAAAGGTTTTCATTCCGGTGCAACAAGACCAAGACCGCCAGGACGGCAGGACGGAGGTCATCACCGAGCCCACCGTGGCGTCATCACTAGTGACTTTTGTAGGCGAAGACCACTTTTGTCAAGATAGCATGTACTAGTTGTCTCCCTTTAAATTTGGCCGTTTTGGGATCCCTTCTCGCCTTCATTTGGGAAGAGGACAAATGCCACTATTGTAAGTGCATCTAGTGCCACCCCTAGTTGGTTTTGGAGTATTGACGACAAATCTGGTTGAGGGACTAATGTGTTTGTGAGAATTGCAGGATAACATAGGTAGTAGTCCCTCATTGATTCGGTTTACGTACCGGAGATGACCCCTAAAAATGTGTGAAGACATTGAAGATAATGGTGCTATGTGAAGATATTCACATTGAAGACTATGACATGAGAAGACATCGCATGAAGTCTTTGGAGCGCGAAGACATAGTTGTTTCATAGTTTCATTTTCTTCCTTGTTGAGTCATAGGAACCACCGTACTGTTAAGTGGGGTCCAAGTGAACAAAGTCAGAATGACTAAAGTGATGCTCAACCAAATCCTAAGTCTTCGAGCGAAGACAGTGAGAGCAAATCTTATCCAGAGCTGGATGAGTCTGCTTTACTTGTAGCCCAAGTCAAGCTGCCGCGTGTGTTTGAAATCTGACTGTTGGAACACGTGTCAGTTCCTTAGTGACTCAGGATCATTTCGGACAAATCAGGTCGGGTTGCCTAGTGGCTATAAATAGCCCACCCCTACACCATAAATTGGTGACTGCTCAGAGTTAGTGCACGGCTTTTGTCGTTTGAGAGCAACCCACCTCGAAGCCTTTGAGAGAGAAATCCTTGAGAGGACAAAGCCCTAAACACATAGAGCCAAAGAGTGTTAGGCATCATCAAAGTCTTTCTGTTTGTGTGATCTGAAGACTTGTTACACTTGAGGACTGTGAATCCTCCAGCCGGTTAGGCGTCGCGTTCTGAGCATCCAAGAGTCATTGTGGATCGCTGGTGAACGAAGTCTGTGAAGGTTTGGAAGTCTACCTTGAAGACTTACCTGAGTGATTGGGCGAGGACTGGGTGTCCTTAGCTCAAAGGGAATAAGGTGAAGACACGGTCTTTTGAGTTGAATCTCAGCCTCCCTAACCAGACGTACAGTTGTCACAACAACTGGAACTGGTCCAACAAATCCTTTGTCTTCACCAAGCAACTGGTTATATCTCTTCCTTCTCTTTGCTTACAGTTTGTCTTCATGAAGTCATTGGCTGCTTGCGTCATCTATTTGATTTCACCGTGTAACTACTTGTTCTGATTGGCTTTATACTATCTTCCATCCTGATCCATACTGCCTAGCTGCTAATAGTCTTCGTGCTTTCACTTCATTGAATACTTGACTATGTCTGACCTAGTGTAGTCTACCTTCTGCTGCATGTTAATAGGTTCATTTCTATCGTTTGTCTTCAAAACTTTCATGTTTTGAAGACTTTCATAAAAATCGCCTATTCACCCTTCTCTAGTCGATAACTAGCACTTTCAATTGGTATCAGAGCAGGGTACTCCCTTGTTCTGTGTGATTCGGTTTAACCACCTGAAGTTTTAGCTATGTCGACTGCAGGGATAATCAAAGTCTCCGTTGCGTGCCCTGTCTTCGATGGCACTGATTACCCCTACTGGAAGAATAAGATGCGCATGCATCTTGAAGCCATTGATGTTGATCTATGGTATGTCGTCAAGAATGGCGTTCCCAAGGCTGGTAAAGGCGTCACCACAGCTGATGTCAAGAAGTTCATTCAACTGGATTCTACTTCCAAGAACATCATCTGTGGTCATCTGACCAAAGGACAGTATGGCTGTGTGAGTGCTCTGGAAACGTCGAAGCTAGTCTGGGACTGGCTCTCCAAGGTCAACGAAGGTGTCTCAACCCAGAGAGATCAAAGGATCAATGTC